CAGTAATGTGTCCCGTGAGGCTTATTTGCAACAATTATAAAACAAATAATAGTGAAGGAAGGCAACAATATAACCATTGCAATGCAAATATTTATGCTCTCGAAACACACACGCACATTTTCGACCGCATTGCGTATTGTGTAGCGTATGATGCTCTGAATTCCAACGTGGCGGAGGCGGTGGCGTATACTTTACATGGGCCTGTGCTTTTAGGCGTGCACACTCCTACTTTCACCGCATTGCGGATGGCGATTTCTGTGGCCTCCAACCACATCTGGTTAGATACAAATCACTTAATTTCGTGGCAAGTTTTTGCGTAAATTTCGCAGCTGTTCTCCCCTTTTGTGTGTTTGTTTGAAATCATTATCGTTGTTGTTGTGTCCATTATAGCGTGGCTTCACGTGATTTTTTTCGCTTGCGAAATAGAGGTAGACTGGGTCTAGATATGGTAGCGTTGCGGTGGAAAAAATCGCGCGACCAGCATATTGTTCGTGTACCCGAAAATAAGTGTGGCAGAAATTAGATCGGAAAAATACTCTGGCAAATATACTGTCCCCATTTCAAATATGAAACAAATTAATGCAGGGTAGTTCAAAAGTAATGCACACGTGTAGTAGTTGGAGAAAGTAAAAGAATCCGAGAATAAAAAACATGTTGCACATGCATACTAATCAGTTCTTGGAAAAACATAAATGAGAACGAAAGTATTCAAAACTGTGATCAACAAAAAGCAATCTATCTAATCCTACTAACACTACCGTTAGATGCCCACTGCTTTTAGAATTGGAATCAATGTTATCCGTAATATTCATTTGCTGGCGTAATATTTTCAATTTTAAAAATTGAAATTACTCGCTTCTTGTGTTTGATTACTTTTTATACTGCAACTGCACTATTGAAGTACCCTGTACTGTATAACCAAAACTTGTATATGCTCAGAGCAATCGGTTTTACAGTTAATATTTTATCCAAAAATGTGGCACGCAGCGCACACTCGCTGCCTATGACCGCAGCTTTGTTTGTTTATTAATATTTATTTCTTTGTTGGCAATGTTGTATTTTGGCCACATATCTAACCAAGTTTGTTGGCCGCAACGAAAATTGCACGTTCACTTTATTAATATCCACGAGAAAATCAATTTTAGCTTTAATTTATTTTTATGGGCATATTTTTCGGAAACTACGGGATTTGTTGTGAAGTTGAGTTTTGGCGTGGAGTTCTGCGGTTGCACCAGGTACATTTCGTGGTTTTGTGTTACATGAGTATGTGCAAATATGCATGCACAATAGGCTCCACCAAGTCCACCAAGCGCCAATTTATATTTAATGAATATTTATTTTTCATTTCAGCTAAATCAATTTTTTGTCGATTTGCTGTGAATAAAATAATTTGAAATTAATAACGCAAATTTAGAAAGCGAGCAAAATGCTTCTGCTAATAAATGCCTGTCCATTGACATATGTTTTTGCATGTAATGAAAGTTTTTGTTACAATTTTTTATTGAATATTTATTAGGTATATTTATTTATTTTAACGGACGTTGTTGAAAACGAATTTTGCTATAAAATACTGATTACCATTTGCTTTTTTCATAATTGCCATTGTAAATAAATATTTATTCTCAACATGCTTTCAGGCGGAATTCCTATTAATTCGGGAATCATCGCGAGAATGCTTTTTTTTCAAATGCAATTTGTTGAAATTAGTTTAAAAACTAAGTTTAAATACTGTGTGTATTCATAGAAGTCTTTGTTTCTAATAAATAGCATAACAATAGAACAGTAATGAAAATAAATAAAATAAACAACAACAATTGCAACATCTTTAATTCGGTTAATTGCCCAACCCACAAGTCCACAATCGAGTCACAAAAGTTATGATTTAGAATCTGTGGAAAGTATTTCATTTTATTTAAATTCTGAAATATTACCTATTAGGGTAGGAATTATTTCTAAGTGCAAAATTTTAGGCAAAATTGTACACCAATTGCACCAATTTTTTGATGCAGAATTAGTAAGCCTCACGCCAAGCTAGTTACATTAATATTTGAAAGACGTAAAGTGAAACAAAAATCAGTAAATCCTTTTTTTGGGGTTGAGGCAAAATTTGAGCCCATTTCATTTTTTATAGGGTTACTGCAACATTGTATGGTTAAAATTTACCTATGATCCTCACTGTAATACGCAAGGTTACATCTCATATGTAAGGTCAACCAGAGGGGCGTAAATAATTTTGTTCGTTACATGAGGCTAAAGGCATATAAAGATCAACTTCTCAACAGTCGCTGTGTTGAACGTACGATGTTCGTTGAATAGTATTAAGATGTCCATACTTTACGATATAGTCTGCAGGATGAGAGTACATCACTGTAATGGGTATATGAAGCGCCAGGCAAAACACAGACCAATTTTTGTATCTTATTTAGCAGGAACAGCTCTAGTAATTTATCAGATAATTTTTCAATATTTTTGATACTCCCTTTGCATACAAGAGAGTTTTTTTTAACACGAATTGCGTTCATAATTTTGTTTGAAATTGAGCAGACCACAATATAAAAGATATGGTAGGTTCTCCTGAGTATGATACGGACAGTCATCCTAATATCTAAAACAACAATAAAAATCTATTTTCAAGATTAAAAAGTAAAAACATTTTTTTTCAGCTATCTTGATTTTTTCAATTTGAGAAATTAATAAAATTCTAATCTGTAATATAGGCAGATTAAATGAAACATAGGCCGTTTCACTATAGCTAATTTTTAATATTTAAAAAATATATATATATTTGCAATGTGAGACTGTTATTAATCATAAAATATTTTTAATTATTTGAAAAGCACTACCTTTCTTTTGTATTAAGATTTAGGCAGTGAATATAAGGTACATCAATAATTAGATACACATACGCACTCACTTTATTAGGGAATAGAACGCTGATTCAAAGCATTTATTGGAACACGTGTTAAGATCAAATTAGACATTACTCACGCATGTGTCACAAGTACATCATATGCCGCACATAATATGTGTGGAAGGTGGCAACTTTGGGCAATTGCCACTTCAGTGGAATCGGTGACGTCAACTGTCAATCGAAGCATAATCTTTTCAACGCGATGTGTGTGTAATATGATTGATGACATATGTCAAACTTCTCAAAAAAGCATACGAATATATGATGTGGACTAGAGTCGTTCAAAATATACTTACATAGAAGCCCACACGCCTACATAAAGAGCATGTATGTGAAAACCAAAGTGAAAATCAACAATTGAAAATTGATAACAGCATATATAACAACAACAAATGAGAATATCTCTTTACACTCGTTAACCGTGATTAATATTTTAACGCCAAGTAAGTGGTGGGCTGAGCAAAAGCGTGAAGGAGCGCAAAGAGATGCGCAGATGCTTGCGTGGAAGAACGAGTTTTGGCACTCTGGGTTTTTAAAAAAAATCCGCGAAGATTTTTGCTGCGTTTCTGCTCGTTGGTAACGCAGTGTTTAATTTGGTGAACTTGTTTTTTTCATTCTCACAGGTTTCAGAATATATATGTATATAAGTGTATAGGTATATATGTTGCATATACATAGAAAAATAAGCGGTATTAAAAACACGTAATTGAAGACATTGGATGGGCGAGATTTAATCGGTCTAGTGGTGGTCAATTTCTCGGTAGGTAATGTCGCTTGCTACAAAATTTAAGAGGAAGTCATGAAAATTTACCGTTAGTTAGTTTCGAAATTGTAGGCAAACTTTGTAGTTGACTTTGTGCAGGTCAAATGGGGTTTTTTTAAATTTTATTTATAAACTAAAAGAGAAAGAAACTTATTTACAATTTACATAAATACATATGTATGTAAGTGTATCAGATCGTCCGAATGTCACTATATTTGGTTACTATTTATTCGCTGAGTTTTTAAACAAATTTACCTAGTCATGTTTTCTTTCAAATTGCCTTTTTTTATTCCACTGAGAGCTCTGACTGGTGAAATTCATGTTTGATTGATTAGCTCCCTACGACAGCACAACACATACATATAATACCCACCTACATATATATTATATATCTACACATACTCTAGTTGCCTTTGGGGCGTTTAGGCGCCAAGCGACAGGCAAATTAAGCCATGAAAGCTTTTGAAAACGAGCGTACACGCCATCACTGATTTGTTGTTATTTTCCTTATCTTATTTGATTTCTCTCACTTTATTTCGTACACAATTAATTTGTCTTAAAATATTTTAAAGTTTTTGTTGTTGTATTGATATCTGACTTTTATTTTATTTGCTGTCGGTCCTGCAAATGAGAAACAAAAGCCGGAGAAGTCAATCAAAGGCCTGAAAGCAACTCATTAATCTTGATTTGAGCTTGACAAAAGATTAAATACCGAAAATCAAATAAATTTTGAGAAACGATATTTGAGTGACAGCCGAAAATTTAATTGGAATCGCGTTTAAAGGCACTATAAATTTAAAAGGACCTTTAGTTTGATCTAAAACTAATGTAAACAAACATAGATACAGCTCTTGTATGCAAATATTGTGTGAGCATGTTTACTCTTTCTTTACAAAACAACTATTAAATATTCTTTTCTTATTTGATCGAGCAATTGCTTTGTATTTCCTCCGTCCGAGTTTAACGCTATCAACATATCGATTTCATTTATTTGCTTTCAATCAACGTAAAGCGAAAGACATCACTGGAATCTACATGGAGCGATTGAGGCGTGACACATCGATATGCTATCGATTCTCTGCCATTCATCCTAAATAACGGTACTCACGATGTAACGTTTATTGCTAAATACTCGCCTTGAGACATGCCGGGAGTAAGGCGTTATATGGTTGCGCCTCAGTATGTAGATTTTCACTCCTCAGAGCACTGGAGTTATATATGTGCCATTCGGTGATACTCCATATCACACACATACATACAATCGCACACACTTATATGACAGAGCAGTTGTCTATTAAAGCTTACCCTACTTCCATCGGTACTCACCTATCGAGCGCGATGGCGACTAGATGCAATATGGAAGCCGTACAGCAGAGCACATCGCACGAAGTCCAGATGTCACACAGCTCCGGTCCAAGTATCCAGCCTTGGCTTATCTTTTCGGAGAGAAAGTTTTTTGCACGTTTATTCAGTTTTCGTTTAGTTTCGAATGATGTGTGCGTGTGTGCGTGTTCGTTCACACGAGCGTATTTTCCGCAGAATGTGTTGTTGTTTTTACATAGTCAACATATTTGTTGTGAAATGGTAACGTTTGCCGTCAAATCGGAGAACACGGAAAAGTATGGGGAAGAGAGAAAATAGTGACAATGTTAGAAATGTTAAAAAGCGATGATCATGTGTAGAATACAAATTGCATATATGTAACGGGTATAAATCCTATGGTCTTAGTGCTTGCTAAATTACGTGCTAGCCAGGGGAAATGGTTACCCAGTAGTAATATATGAATACATATCAAGAATTGTACTAACACTTCGTCTAAATCTCATGAGAACCTGAATACTGACCTATTACCATTAAATTTCATCGATATTAGCAATACGAATGCAGTGATTTTGCAAAGAAGTCTACAAACCTAATAATTAAGTTTCGACATTTAACATTATAGAAGCTAAATATTTTAAAGCTGCCCTCTTTTCAGAAGAAAGGAAGTGAGGCCTTCTCTAACAACTAACCAAAATAATATGGCCAATGCACTTCATCAACTGAGAGCTCCTTTCTCTGTAAAACAATACAAATTTTGATTTTCAAATATCAGGGCATCAACACTTTGATATTGTAATCTTTAAGGAAACCGAGGAATGATATAAACTCATTTCAAGTCATCTGACCTGCCAGTGGATTGAAAGTGCAGATATAGCAATAATACGACGAGAACGTTCAAAAAATAAGTTTGATAGTGGTTGGTTTCCCTCTGGGTTAAGCAAAAGCACGTGCATGAGAGTTTATGCGTTAAGTATCAGTCAGTACACGCTATTCTATGATAAACTTTATACTCCGTACATCCACATACTTATCATACATACGTGTGTGTGCTTAACTATATGCGACGAATTGCGTCATTTAAGGTAAAGCCTACGCACATGCGTTCATCATGGGAAAAGGTCATAATATTGGCTTTCGAAATCTGCGAGTCTATTCTGTTTGTATGTATTTATATACGAGTTCTTGCAAAAACAAAAGGTCGAGTACTTTATTGCTTTATGAATTTTTGTGGGTTTTATAAAGTAAATACCTATTTCTGTGAAGTCAATTATACTAAATATACAGCGCTATGGATTCGTCTTCATTTGATGCGTTCAAAAAGAAAACAGCTGAAGAATAAATTGTAAAGAAGCATTCAATATTTCGAGAACGACAACAAGTGCGGTCAATTGAGGAGCAGCAAAACGTTTGCAATGCAAATTATCATTTTTATGTGGAATTGTAATTTAAGTTGAAGAAGACATGTCGGTCATTTTCGGCGCACTTTTTGGAGGATTGGTTTGAGACTTGCTTTAGTAATCTAAAATAATTCATATTTCGAAAGCCGGTTTTAATTTTAGTTGGTAACTAAATGAAACTCTGAAACTTTATGAGACTTTATCGAGAAAAACTAAAAGGTGTCATGCTCGTATGACCTTTGAGTACTCTGACCTGTTAAGCTGAGAGAACTTGTAAGTTCTTAACAAGTGGTTTTTGAATGGTCGCTGAAATAGTGTCTGACGGATAGAAGGTTAGTAGTACTATGCAATACTGTGACCCTGGTCTACTCATACCTATCATCGTTAGTTTTTTATCTGTTGATTTTTATTTTACTCACTGTTCTCTTTCGTTTGCTGCAGTTTTCTTTCTGTGCAGTTTTTCGCTTACCTCATAGACGGCGCCCAGCGGCATTACCAGACAGGCAACGAATAAATCAGCAACAGCCAATGAAGCCACCAAATAATTGGCAACATTCTGCAAGTTACGTTCCAATATTATGGCAGCAATTACAAAAACGTTTCCTGTTGATGAGCGCCAGGAGCAACAACAGCAAGGAAAGTGAAGCCAAAAAGAAGTGTTGTTGCCAACGCAGTCAATAACGGTGATTGTTTTTGTATTGAGTATGTTGGTGGCCACAAGACATTTCATCAAGAGAGAAGAAGACGAAGCCGCCCATATAACCACATAAAAAGACATGGAAGCGATTTGATGATTTGATGATGTGAGCCAGTGGTTATGCCATAAATGCGGAGGAATTCATTTCAGTTTTTACAAGCCATTAGTCCCATACATGTCGATGTACGAAGATGTAAAAGCGTTCAATACAGCGTTATTATCATGAATGTGAGGCAGGTTGGCATGTTTTTGTGGTACCACATCCGTGTTCACAATTATCGCCGGAGTTGAAGAGCGAAGATTGTGTGGGCGTGGGTGTTGGCATGAAAAGAGAAAAGAGAAGACATAAATATACAGTTATGAAAATAAAAGCAGAAAAAATGTTAACTCCTACAAAAATAAAAAAAAATTGCTCCACACAAGAACTTGAGTTTGATTTGTCAGTTTCTATGGCAGCTATACTCGGACACTGCTAAATCGAGCCAACTCGTCACATCACTAATCATTTACAAGTATATATGTATATTGTACAGGCTATCTGACATTTCCTTTCAATATTACTTTCATATATTTTGTTATGACATGGGCAGAATTTTTGCAGTGAAATCACCTAGTCTGCGCGCAGATATGACAGTTGCCAAATTTTAGCCTGAAATGAGCCAGTTGCATACGAAGAAAAAGCACTGGTTTTGTGTGCACTGTCTATCATTGGTATAAATATCGTGTTTTTTTTTTACTATTACTAACAAGTTGAATGTTTTAATGCGGGGATATAACGGTCTAATACTTAATCATATTGACATTGTATTTTTTAGCATATCTGCATTCCTATGACTGTAAATATGGCTTGAACTGGGTGTGCGTATCGAAATTAATACCAACGATTACGCAGACATGGAACTGTCAATAAGTCACGTGTCAATGTGTCAATGGCAGTGCACCGACATGACAATGACAACACTGGAGTCGGCAGTGACGCTTCATAGGCGTTAGCCATTTCTCGCTGCGGCAGCCAGTCAAGCCGCTAATGTAGATTAAAATGGATAAGTTGCGATAATGCATGTACATCCATATTATCTTAATGAGCACTTACATCGGTATGTGTGCATGTACTTGTCGGGGATTATATCTTAATGCATGCGATAAATCATTCACTAAAGCTGGCTGTCATTACAGTTTGCCATGGAAATTATCGCAAATGAATTTATGTGGCGGATAATGAGCCAAATTACTATAGTTGTTTAGGCAGATATGAATTATCCTTGTTTTAAGGGTCTTTTTTTTAAGTTTAAAGATAATTTTAAAATTCATCCACTCTATTGTACATTTTATAGCTTATTCACGAAGCTTTGATCTTTAAATATATTATGCCATTTTGAATGTTGAAAGATGTCAAGAAGACGAAGAAGGAAATGCACGACCTTGCTTTTCACCTATGCGGTTACAATTAATAGAGTTGAAATAGACAGAAATACGTCAAGTTTGTCCCTAAGTATTATTCTTCTACTTTCTGCTCCCTCTTTATTAAAAAGCTTTAAATTAGGTGATTTATCTAATATTCGCACTTATTTTAAACCCAGTTACCTTCTAGCGTTTATTTTAGTGTGACAACGTCCATACTCGTATAACACTTTTTAACTTGAAAAACTTTATAACATCATCATATCATAAATTAAGTTTGCTCCGTTCTTTTATTGCAATTAACGCAGCTTAAAAATCGTAATAGGCGGAACTTAGAGTGTGAACCCATAAGTAGTTTCGTCTATTCGGAGTTCATAGTATCCGTAGCTGCAGAGCGTGTTGCACAAATTGACTTCGCAAACTTTAACATTTACACTAGCAGGGCATTAAAGCAGCATGGACGTAACAGCAACAAAACGGCGAGAAAAGCCGAGCCTTGAAAAATTAATGGGGAAAAAGTAATCATAATGACGTTGATGATTAAAAACTTTACGCGCGTTGCATGCAACAAAATACGTACAAACAAAAGAGTGCAAATGAAGAGAATGCTTCGACATTAAAGTTGCACACTTAGAAAGTGCAACAAAATAAAAATGTGTCATGTAATGATAGTCAAGTGGCGGCTGAGCGGGGCGTGGGAAGTAGCTTTTTACAATGCAAACGCTGTGCCACATCATGGCGGCGAGGGCATTAAATAACCTTAAACAGTGATGACTTCGCTCGTAAAATTCGGTGGTTTCAAAGAAAGAGAAAGAAAACAAAATGTTGTGTATATGCAATTGCGTACATAAACGCACACATACACACGCATACTTAAAAGCAAACGCGATATGAAAAAGAATTTTAAATTTGTACATTCGTTGTTCCGCTACGTACAGTATCTGTGCACCGAATTGTGACTAGAGAAGAATTTGTAAAGTTGTAATATATAACGTTGCTTGCTAGCTTTGATGGAGGGAGAGCCACAATTGGTGTGAGAGCTCCCAGCGGTCTTTTATAGAGCCGTAAGAATCCATTGCCGTTAGGGAAAAGTATTAGGCATAGAGAGTAATCAATGTAATCCATTGGGACGTGTTGTTTGTGCATTTTTTTCTGTCCTTGAATAATTGCGTATACCTCTTACGTATATTCTGCTTATAATTTCCGAATCATTTTTAAACCGATGTCCGTCGCTGTACATACGCAGTCGGGGCTGCGCAAACACGCAGTATAAGTACATTAGGAAGCATAAAATTAAAGCGGAGAAGGAATAAGGTTTTTAAACTTCTGCCCCAACTATCGTTCCCCCAAAAATTGAGTAGTAAAATAATACTCGTGCTGAGATATCATAAAAAATCAGTGAAAATAATGTCGGGTAAATGTGCAACACTGCAGTTGTGAGACATGTGATGTACTTTCATAAGTGCCACACATACGTTTGTCTGTATGTATTCGTAAGCGGAAAATAAAACGGAGAAAATGCGCCATAGAAATAAAGATAACTGCTGACGGGAAGTGCTCTCAAAAAAGGTGGGAAAGAATACCGTTTACGATTGTGTTAGGGCTACTTGAAGAGAATATGAAGATAACGCAAATTTGTTGCAACGGCTGAGTAGCAATGCCCCCACTTCATGGTTGCTTCTTTCAAAGAACAGCAGTGACCTTAATATGTGGCTGCACTCTTTGCAATTATATTGTTAAACTATTATTTTGAATTAAAAACAATAAATTTATGTTTATTTAGACTGTTAACTGGAGTAAAAGTGCAGAGAACTACGCAAAAAAAAAAAATATATATACATTTTACCTGCTTTTCTTACTATTTTCTTCGAGTACGTACGTACGTATACATTTTATAGTCTTTAAAGGGATGACAGTCTTTAGTAAAGCTGTGTGCTTAGGATTGCTAAAGTAGCTTCTGTAACTTTAACCTTATATGAATATAATCCGATTTGTGGTTTTATGAAAACTAGAAAATTTTAAAATTTTTTATCATGATATTATAAATTATCAGAAATCTTTATATAAATTTTCAGCGTTTAACTATAGACAACAAATTGAAAATTTCGTCGCTCGGTTAGTTTAATAAGTTACGGCTTACTTAGAATTTGGGTCTCACAAATACGAATAGCCTGGTAACAGCTACAACAGTAGCAGACCACGTGTCGTATGAGTAACATTTATATACGAATTTTTGTACTCGAACGTTTAACGGCGACGTGTGCTTCTTTGTGAATTTTTGGAAACTACTTGCATAAGAACATATTCCAAGAGTAGAGCAGTAAGTAATGATGTGTCTCTCGCTTTGATCAAAGGCAAGCTTGTAATGTCCTTATGTCCTTAGGCGCTCGAATGCGCCGGTACAAGGTAATTTCGGAGGCGAATGCGTGAATGTATATAAAAGTGCAACAGACTGACAACCTAATAACAGTTTTTCTTTTTTTACATTTGTGGCGCATCGTTTTCACTTTTAAAGTAGTACTTACATGCATCCACGCAACTCAAAGAAAAATAAAAGCGAAAAATAAATAAAAAAGTAAAACGCCCAAAAGTTCTGCCACTCGTACTCTCTTCTTTCCGCTGATTTACCGAAAATTAAACTTCCGCCACAATTTGTGGCAAGCAATTTTCAAAGCATACTTTCGTTTTTGGTTTCGTTTTGAATAGACTTTCCTCGCCATTTGCACACACATTGCGTCGCCTTGCGTGTGACGTCTACTCTGCGGGTGTGTGCCTCGGTTGCTCGGTCCCTTCCACGTTTGTACCTACCATGTGTACATGCTGACTACACGGGCATTCTCTTTTGATCTCGTTTTGTTAGTGTAAGCTGGAGACAAGAGACAAGTGTTGGTTTCTGAGTAGGTTATAGCGCAGTGTCACGTTTACCTTGGCACTTATGACTGCAAAGAATCCGATAAACGACTTTCACCGGTTTCGTGTAGCTTGTATACTTACACGCAGCTGTTTACATAACTTGAGTTTCATATACACATATGAACAATGCACATGCTTACAGATTTATTAGCAGAAATATTGCATTTGAACTTAAAGTTGTGCATTACATTTCCTGATTTCTTTTGGCAATGTTCGGACGTTATAGAGTTTAAATTTGCGTAATTTTTGGTGAAAGTGAATTTGAACATTTCAATACGACTTCGAAGAACCTTCGAAACATCAGAGATAGGTAAGGCTTTCTGACTCTATTTTTAGTAATTAAAAAACAATTTTTAGAATCAAAAAAGTTTTCGCACCCATCTGCGAACAGTTCGTTTATTTTATTTTAACCGTTCATTTCTAGGTTATATTGCAGTTTTGCACTCTCACACTGCATAAACAAAGTCTTACGCAGTTCGCCGAAAATTGAAGCGTTGCTGATCTCTTTTGTATATACTCCAATGTGTGTTGCTGTACGTAGCCATTTCCTTTCCACGCCCGAGCACGTTAAATGTGAATATTAAATAGGGTG